ACGAGGTCTGGGGGTAACTCAGGGGCACAGCGCTCCCGCCTGGCATGGGCAAGGCCTGGGCCCTGTCCCCAGCACGGCCAAAACAACATCCAACCCAAACAGCCAAAGTGCCCTCAGATCCGTACCCGAACCTGCCTTAAGGAATCAGAGGAACCACAAACGAAACCCAAAGCCCACAGCAGCAAGCAATGACCCCGGAGACTTCACCAGCCCCTTTCTATGTTTTATTTAGAGACGGGAGCTCACTGAGTTGCTTAGGACCTCGCTCGGTGGCTGAGGCTGGCTTTGAACTCCCTGTCCTCCTGCCCCAGCCTCCTGAGCCTCTGGGATGACAGGCGCGTGCCACTGCCCCCAGCCAAAAACTGGTTCTTGAGAAGAAAATGAAACTGACAAATCTGTAGCTAGACCAGGCGGGAAGGAGGGTGCGAAGGACTAAAAGCAGGAAGGACACGACCCCAGCCTCGCAGAGATGACAATGACCGCGTGATGGCCGTGAAGGATGATGGCCGTGAAGGACTGGGAGTCTACAAAGTAGACTCGAGGGGCGAGGGGCGAAGTGGAAAAGTCCCTGGAAAGACAGACTATGAAAACAGACGGATTCAAGGGGAAACGGAAAATGGGAAGAGACCCGTAACGGGGGGGATGGGCCTAGGGATTCTAAAACTTCCAGATACAGGAGAACGGGGCCAGCTCCCCGTGAATCCTAGCAGACGTCCGAGGAGTCCGTGCCAGCCCATCCCCAGCTCTTCCAACACAGACGGGGACCGGCTTCCCAGCGCCAGAACCGCCAGGCCCATCACCCAGAGGTCTGCTCCCCCAAGGCGGGCTCCACAAGGTCCCCGTCCCTCTAAGAGTGGCCCCTAGTCACGTATTCCCTGACGGGACTCAAACTTTGGCTTTTTAGATCTTTCATTTTCTTGTAGCGATGCGGTCTGTTCTATTTCAATATCTTTTAGTTGTCAATGGACTTTATTTATGTGTGGTGCTGAGGGTTGAACCCCGAGCCCCCCACATGCCAGGGAAGCCCTCTGCCCTGAGCCCCAGCCCCGGCCCTTTTAGACCTTTTTATTTTAAGCCAACCTCAGGCTTCCTCAAGTGGACTAGAGGCAGTGCCCACAGAACAGGCTGACTGGCCAGCATCTGGGGTGGCCAGCTGCAGAGGTGCCCGCCCACGGGGTCTTCCCGGACCCGCCCGGGCCCCTCCTTACCTATCTGCCCGTTGTAGCAGCCCCCCAGGAGCACGTGGGAATCCTTGGGGTTGTACTCCAAGGTGACCAGCGGAGAAGGTGGCTTCAGGACAATTTCAGGCCTATTCGGGTTTTCTGTAAAGCAGGAAAAGAAAAAGGTGTCCTCAGGCCTGCACAGAAGAGGACAGGGCCAGCCAGGTTACCCCCTTTTCCAGAGGAGGTGGTTAGAAGGCAGCCATCGAGACCCCCCGTCTTTCTCTGGCCTGCTTCCTTCGGCCCCGAGGCCTAACTCTTAGCTACTGGCTTGATTTGGGGGGACTGGGGCGTGGCGTGGGTGTTCAGTTCCAGTTCTAGTCCGTTCCTCATATTTGGTGTGAAACCAGGGGATGCGGGGTCCACCCCGGGGTTGCTGCGAGAGCTGGGCGAGCTGCTCAGTCAGCTCCCCATGCAGCTCCCGATGCAGCGTTGTTGTACGGAGGGGGAGAACGGGAAGCCGGGGGTGTTGCTCGGGCTGGGCTCTTGTCCCTGCAGTGGAGAAAGCGTCCTGCTCCCAGCAAAGTGGGGTCAAAGCACAGTCCCCTCCCCTCCCTCCCCTCCCCTCTGGGCTCCCTTCAGCCTGCTGGGCCTCTCTCTGTCGGCTCTCCAGGGACCGACAGTGGGAGTCCCCTTGGGTCTGGTATTTGTTTATTCATTTTGCAATGCTAGGGACTGAACTTGGGGAGCTCTACCCCTGAGATACAGCCTTGGCCCTTTTTAGAATTCTACTTGAGGCAGGCTCTTACTCAGTTGCCCGGGTTGGCACTGAACTGGCCTCAGCCTCCTGAGTCAGGGGACCACAGGCGTCCATCATGGTGCCCTGGCTGGGGGGTGGTCTTCAGGCCCCAGAGGAGGAATCTGGAATTGGAGCTGGAGGTCCGCCCAGCGGGTGTGGGTCCTGGGCTCAATCCCCGGCACGGCAGGGGGAAAAGTAAATCTGGAGTTTCTCGCCTTGGAGTTTGCTTAAACCCAGGCAGCAAAGGGACAGCAGGGATTTCCTCCTGACAGTCCCTGGCCCCTTCCACTCCCCAGCTGGCCCTGGCCTCCGCCCTGCCTGGCCAGCAAGACGCCGCTGCCCCTCACCCAGTTCCCAGATGTATGACTCGTGGCTCATGCCCGCAGGTGCCCGCTGAAAATTCAAGCAAGAATAGGCCACTGCCAACTTCCGGTTGCCATCGGGGTGCCAGGAGACGTGTGTGGCTGCCCGCTTGATGTCCTGCGGATCCCTTTGGGGAGAGCAAGGGAGTCAGGAGGCTGAAGGGTGGGGTTCCCCCAGTTTCTAGTAATTCTAGCACAACTAGATTCTTTTTTTTCTTTAAAAAATACTCAAGTATATCTAAGGAACCACCTTCACTTCAGAAAATCTATTTTAAAAACAAAGTGCAGGGAGAGGGAGGGGGACGGGAAGGGGGAACACTAGGGAAGGATATTGGCCACATTACATTGTTATTTTAACTATATGGTCATGTTGTGTTTGTACAAACGCCTAACAGTGAATCCCACCATGATGTATTAATTATCCTGCACCAATAAAAAGTGGAAAAAAAAATAAATCCAGACCAAGTTGACAAGACTCCCGTAAATGGAAAACCAGTCCCACCAACTATAAATAGAAGGTAATAATAAAAACCAAGACAATGGGAACAGGCAAAACATGAAACTCCAGTTTAACCCTCCGCTCGCTGGCAGTCGAGCCAGAGCCTGATCTTCCGTTGCGATTCGAATCAAAAGGGATCAGGAAGTCTAGCCATCTCACGCCTCCGTGTTGACTCAGATGAGCTGAAAACTTCCGTCCACACAAAACCCTCCATACGAATGTTTATGGCCGCTTTATTCAAATTGCCAAGGCAGGGAGCAACCAAACTGTCCTTCGATGGCTGCGTGGATAAATGGTAGTGAACCCAGACGATGGGACACCGTTCACCACGAGAAAGGAGATGAGCGATCAAGACCTGAGAAGACACTCTGGGAAGGGCCAACTACGCAGACAGGAAGAAGATGAGTGGTTGTCAGGGGCTCGGGACTTGGGAGGGACGAAGAGGCGACCACAGGGCATTCTGAGGGCAGGGAACTACGCTGTACCCTACTGCAATGGTGGACACCAACCCATGGGGTGTGCAAGCCTCGGGAACAACCCTGACGGAAAGTAGGGAGTGACAGTGGTGTGTCTGTCCATGCAGGTCCAACTGGTGGGCATGCTGGCAATCGGGACTGTGTGCCCAGGGCAGGAGGTGAGAGGGGCATATGGGAACTCTCAATTTTGTTATGAGCCTAAGACTGAAGTCTGGGAGTTGGGGCGGGGGCTGGCGCCCCTGGTAGAGCACTTGCTGTACATGCCTGAGACTCCTGGGACAAGGTCTAACGCATCATGTGGTTTGAGGGGTCCCTATGTGGGGTCAGAGCCCAGCGGGGCTGGGGGCAGCATGTGCCTGCTGCACATCCCTGGGTGCAGCCATTGGCCCTGCTCTGCACCCCACAAGTCACCACTGGATCAGAACAGGTTGTGCTGGGACAGGGCCAGGTCCTTCCTAAGATGCTTGGTCAGCTGTGGTGGCAAAACAAATCCCCCAAGTTGCCACCAGAGGCCAGTCACCTCCAAATGCCTGCCATCTCTGGAATCCGCATCACCCAGACCACACCTGACCCCGCCCAGGGTCCTCAGAGATGCCTTGGCCTGCACCGGCTGGGACCCCCCCCCACTTCCCCCCTTCCACCACCTCTACTTCTAAATGGACGGCCATCTCCCTCCTGCCCCCTCCACCGCCACGAACGTGGCCCCACCTGCAACTCCTCTCGCCAAGTCTTCAGGATGAGCTGTCCCTTTGCCCTGGTCCTCTCCCCATTCCTGTCCCCAAGCTCTCCTTCCTTACCCTACCCATGTGCTCAGAGTCCCCATGTGAAGCCAGTGTCATTCCTTCCAGGGCTGCTGGGGCCAGGGACCACAGCTAGGTGGCACTGTCTTTTGTTCTTGTTTGATAGTTTTTGTTAGGTTTGTTTTGTTTTGCGGTGCTGGGGACGGAACCCAGGGCCTTGCACATGCCAGGCAAGCACTCTACCCCTGAGCCGCAGCCGGGGCCTTGGGTGTCCTTAACAACAGGAATTTATTCCCTCCCTCTTCAGGAGGCCAGAAGTCCAAAACCTCAGGTGTTCTCTGCAGGTGAAGTATATGCACATACCTGTCCACAGATGCAGGACACGTGTACATAGGAATAGACCCGTGCACGTGTACATGGGTATTCCTAAACAAAAATCAGCACTCTCAGCCAGGAGCAGTGGCCACCCCTATATGATCCCAGCCACTAGGGGACTGAGACAGGGGATTGCAAGTTCAAGACCAGCCTCAGCAACTTAGCGCACTCCATCTCAAAATAAAAAAAATAAAAACAGCTGGGGAGGTAGCTCAGTGGTGGAGCACTTGCCTATCATGTGTGGGGCCCTGGGTTCAATTCCCAGTGCCAAAAAAAAAAAAAAAGAAGAAGAAGCAGCAGCACACTCTCCCCTTTACTCTTCCACAGCTTGTTTGGGTTTGGTTTTCACATAACCAGTCTTGGAAATGGGTCCCTCTTGTCACAGAAGGAGCTGCCCTATACTTCCAGCGCCCCCTTCCCCACCCTGGTACCCCTTTGTGGGCTCTGCCAGAACCGTGGGAACCAGCCCCGACGGATGGATCTGGCTTGTTGGAGCTCTGGTCGGCACACCCTGCTGCAGCGAAGATCCTCACACAGAGAACACACAACACCCACAAATCCCCCTGTCCTTGGAGGCTATTCCCAGCTCCACTCCTGCAAATGCGGGCCAGCAACCTGTGGGCCCAAGACCCACTGGGCCCCTGAGGTGCGCGCCTTGTCCTGCTCTGCCCTGTGGGAGATCCCCCCCTGCGCCCAGCTCACACACAGCCCAAGCCTGGTCAGCGCGTGCATCCCCACAGGGCAGGGACCACGTCCTGCTGGGCACCGGCTTGCTCTGACCCTCGTCGAGCTTGGGCACAGAGAGCGCAGTGACCGCGGTCTGCAGTGATGAGCAAGGAGTCCCTCTTGGAGGTGACAGGTTGGCCAGAGGCCAGCCTCGCTAGGGGCTACCTGAAGACATTAATGGTCTTAGCTGAAGGGGCCTCTTCCGTCACCTCCACCTCTTCCTCATCGTCAAAGTACTCCTGGTAGATGTCAATGGCGTTGTTCTGCTTGATGCAATGCTCCATGATCTGAGGGCACAGAGCAGGGGTGCTCAGCAGGAAGGAGAGGGCCTGCAGGCCCAGGGGCTGGCTGGAGTCTAGGAGGGACAGGGGGACTAGGGCCTTTTCCTGTTCTTTAGCCCATGCATGTTCTTTCTTTTTTCTTTTCTGCAGAGCTGGGGACGGCACCCAGGGCCCTGCACAGGCCAGGAAGTGTGTGACCACTGAGCTCCACCCCGGCCCACGGCTTATGCATTTTCAATTGGCTTTTGAAGGTGAATTAATTGCTTTCGGTGTACAAAGCCCTGATGCACACACAGCACATTAACAGATAAACGAGATATCTATGGCACTAAAATTTCATGGAGGGAGGAAGAGATTTTAAAAAAATGTCTAAAAATACTCTTGGGGAGGGATGATAATGCAAAAAATGTTGAAAAATGTTGCTCTAGCCAAACAGTTTCATCAGGCCTATGTATATATGGCACCCATGTATTTGTCTGGACCTACAGTGATCTCTAAGTCTTCGATGAAGGATGTAAGTGAGACCCATTTTTGCAATCGACACTGAGCCAGGCTGAGACTTAAAGCTTATTCCAGATTCATTGGATGTGGGGCTGGGGTTGTGGCTCAGTGGTAGAGTGCTTGCCTAGCATGTGTGAGGCACTGGGTTCGGTTCTCAGCACTTCATGTAGATAAATTTTTTAAAAAGGTCCATCAACAACCCCCCCTAAAAAATTAATAAAAAAAAAGTAGTAAAGGACCAAAACTTTTTTGGGGGGAGGGTGGTCCTCTCTGCCCCGGGGGTTTCCCACTTGTTTAGGCTCTTTGTAAAACCTGCTCAGCCATGGCCCTGTGTGGTCAGCAGTCAGTCTCTCCCCAGGATGGCCATGTGGACCCGTGGCTGGCACAGCTCTGGCACCCCGGGGAGCTGGAGTGGGGGGGAGGTCCTCAGTGGACCGAGCCTTACCGAGCCAAGCTGCATGATGGCATTGATGTAGTTCTCGTCCTTCTCTACTTTTTTCCGGAAGCGGATCGTCTGCTCCAGCTCCAGGGGGTTCACATCCTTGGGCCAGCCCCCCTCGACATGGTTGACCCCTCGGGTCTCCATCTCAAACCGCTCCGTGTTCGCCTGAACAGAGGGCCACCGGTGAGATGCCCACCACCCGGACACGTCCAACCTCTGCCCCTGCAAGCCAGGAGCCTCCCAGGACCCTCAGCCCTCTGACAGACCTAGGAGCTGCCCTGGCTAAAGCCACCAGGTCAGGAACCTCCAGGTCCTCAGGCAGTCACCGGTGGCCTTGCAGCTACTTGGCCCTTGATAGCACTCGTCATGGAAGACCCAGTGCCCAGATCCCCTGAGTCTAGTGGGCCCAGGAGCCACCCCACCTGTTCTGCAAGATTCAGAAGAAAAGAGAAGTGTCTGCTTCTTTCCCACCCAGCGGGCAACGGAGTCAGACATCGAAGCCTCAACAGGGACTCAGAGGCTGGGTCTGCGCCCCTCTGGAGCCGGGGGAGTTTAACCTGTTGGACTAGCTTCTTGGCTCCAGCCCACTTTCCCCCATTTTAAAAACCTTGCTGACGTACACAGGACATGACATTTGCCATCCTTTTACAGTGTGCGGTTCCGTGGCCTGACCATTCACAGTGCCACGCAGTCATCGGCCCGGAAGGAAGCCCTGTGCCCCCGGGCAGTCTCTGCCAGCTCCTTCCCGCCGCTAAGCTGGCTCTCCCAAGAGTGAGACGCCTTGCCAGGGCGGGGCTCTGGCAGGAGCCTGGGCACTGAGGCCAGCATGGCCACCATCCGGAGGCTGTGCCATGGGCACAGTTGTCCTGGTCCCCGAGACGGCCTTCAGGCTGAGAAGTTAATTCATCTAAACCAGGAGTCACCAGACCACGCAGGTGACTGTGAATGTGTTCCAGTCACGTCCAGTGACTCATCTGGTTTGGGGCCTGACCTGGGTTATCTTGACCCAGTCGGGTGCTGATCACCAGGTTCACAGGAACCGGAAGCTCTACGGGCCTCCACAGGGCAAAAGGGCATGACCATGGCCCTGGGTGCTCTTATCTCAGAGCCCCGCCCTCCCTGGCCAGAACTTCCTGTGGGACACTTTTCTTCTTCCAAGATGGGCTTTGCCTGTAGATATGAATCCATGCTCCCGAGAAGACCTCTTCCAGAAGCACCAAAGGCCCAAAGTGGCTCTGGAAAGTCTCAGCAGCAAGGCCAGAGCGCCTCGGAGGCAAGGCCGCGAGGGAGAGAGAACACCTTGATTGACACTCGCCTGGTCCAGGGGACAGTGCTGCTGCGTCTTCTCCTGAGCCCAGCACTGTGGTGGCTCTTGGGGTGACCCCCCCACACTTCCAGCACCCACGCTGGTCCACTCCACCTGGATTCCAGGTGGACAGGCCACCCAGGACCCTGACCTGCTCTTTCTGGACACCTTGCCCGGCCACATCTTCACTGACCTGGATTCTTGGGGCAGGGACTCACCTCATGCTCCGACATGCTGGCGGAGCACTGGACGCCCGTGTCCACTGGGTTCCGCTCCACGAACTGCGTGGCCAGCTCCGGGTTGGGGGGGATGTCGATGTTCAGCTCGGCCTGGCGGTCTGAGAAGTTGCACTGCTTGCCAAACTCGCTGCGCTTCTTCACGTACACGTAGACAATCTCCATGGTGACGGGGGCTGCGGGGGTGGGGGAGAAGGGAAGGGGTGAGGGGCCACCTGGCCACCCCTCTGCCTGGGGCCCATGGGACTGCTTCAGGTTCCCATCTGGCTCATGGGTGAGGGTGGGGGCGGAATCCTAGGGGTTTGTCAGGTGTCCAGAGCTGCACTGGGTTGCTGTTGCTGCACCGGGGATTGAACCCCAGGGTCCCACCCAAGACAGGCAAGCCGTCTGTCACCGAGCTCGTCCCCAGCCCTTAATGTTTTGGGAGAATCTCACTAAGCTGCCCAGGCTGCCCTCAAATTTAAGATTCTCCTGCCTCAGCCTCCCCACCAGCTGGGATTATAGGTGTGGCCACGGCACCTGGCTTGCATCTGAGGGTTCAGCATATGATAAGCATAAATTATCTTGTTCAGTTCTTGCAAATACCCTCTGAGGTGGGAAGAAAATCACCATTTGATTCCAAGGAATGTGATACTCAGAAGTACCCTGAGCCACTGGCCCAGCATCACATAGCCACTGAGTGGTGGCGCTGGTCTGCCTGACTCCAAAGCTCTGACCACCCACTGAACGGCTTCTCCTGATCAGTATTAATGGGAGGCAGGAAGAAATGCTGATGGTGGTTCTGTTGGGCTAAACTGCCTGCTGCGCTCTGGATCTGAGCCATGCAGCACATGAATCGGAGATCCCTGGGCCCCTTCTGGAAGCCTCCACCCAACCGTCCACTTCCCCACCTGATTGTGGAAAAGGCTCATTGACACCAGAGTCCTCCGTTGCCAGGCTCCACCCCCCCACACCCACCGCTCTCTGGACCCCCCCTGGGAATCTCTTCCCTCTGCACCAGGCCAGCCAGCCAGAGCTGAGCGGTCACCTGACAGCACAGAGCCAGATGGCTTCCTGAGCAGGAGGGACCGTCAGCCCTCGGGAGCCCCTCTGATTTGCACTGGCCATAAAGAGTGGGAACTGGAAAAGCAGCTGGGCAGGGCCCTGACCTCAGGTGCAGGCCTTGCTCTTCACAGCTGCATGACCTTGCCAAACTCGCTGCGCCCAGCAGTCAGCAAGCTGGTGTTCAAATCCCTGATGTAAGGAAGAAGGTAAGGAAGAGTTCTTCACCAGCGCTGACCCAGGGCTTAAAGATACACACGCGGCTCCCACAAGCTGCCCTTTGCTCACCCCAAAGAGACCCTCCTGCCCCCCTCACATCCATGGATTCTCTGGGGCTCAGTGCTGGCCACCTGGTAGGCCAGTCTGCAACGTTATGCTGTGGACTACAGCAGAACAGATCATTAGGGGGCCACCCCAACTCTCAGGAACTGTGCCTTTGGCGTCTCATTCCCAAGAGGGCTTCGACAGCCCCTGGACTTCGAGAGCCCTGGGGGTGCCCGTGGGGAGCTGTTGAATGAGTGGCCACAGTGGTTTGGGAAAGGCCCATTGTGCAAATTTGCTGTGGCAGCACTCACAACCCAAGGCCTTTTGAGACTCAACAAATCAGGCTTTGGCCCCTGAGTGGGTGTTGCTGCCTCTGAATGAAGTAGGGACCTGGTGGGAAAATGGCTGGAGGGCGTATTGCCTCCATAGCCAAACTCAGGAACCAGAGGGACACAGCAGAACTGCTGGAGTAGTGAGCCCTTGACCTAGCAACGCCATCAGGAGAGCAGTCCAAGACTGCTCAACAACACTCAAAATGACTCTTTTTTTTAAAAAAAATCTAATTATATAGACTTTTCTAGAAAGTACAGTTTTTATGACTGCCAAACTGTATGCTTTATCTTCATTCTAATTATAGTTTTCATCATCTCATCCCATTTTGCAACAAACACTTATTAGATCCTACTATGAGTGATCAGGACGGTGCGGCTCTGGCACAGGGTAGACATGCAGATGAATTGAAGGGACTCAAAGTTCAGAAATGAACCTTTACAGTTAGGGTTGACTGGTCTCTGGCAAAGGTGCCAAGGCAGCACAGTGGAGGTGGGAAGGACTGTCTTTTTGGCAAATGGCTCTGGGACAACTGGACATTCCAAAGTGAAAGAGTGACCACCGCCGGGCACAGTGGTGTATGCCTATAATCCCAGAGACCTGGGAGGCTGAGGCAGGAGGATTGCAAATTACAAGGCAGCCTGGGTGATTTAGTGAAGCCTGTCTCAAAATGAAATAAAAAGGACTGGGGATGGGCTCAGTGGCAAAGCACCCCTGGGTTCAATCCCCAGGAACAAAGGAAAAAAAAAGAGTGACCCAAGATCCCTATCTTACTTCAAATTAATTCAAAATGGGCTGCAGGACTGAATGTAACAGCTAAAACCATAAAACTTAGAACACAGGGGGGGAAAGACTTCATAGAGACGGTATAAAAAGTATGCTCTCTAAAAGAAAAACAAACGATAGATTGGACCTCATGAAAATTTAAAACTTCTGCAAAGGATAACATCACAAAAACCAAAGAGGAGCTGGGGATGTAGCTCAGAGGAAGAGTGTTCGCCTAACATGTGCAGGACCCTGACTTTGATCCCCGTAAAACACACACACACACACACACACACATATACACACACACACGAAAGAAAGAAGAGAAAAAAAGAAAGAAATTTGGAAGCACAAGCCACAGACTTGGAAAAAAATATTTCCAAATCATCTATCTGATTAAGGACTTGAATCCAGAATGTAAGAAGACCTACCAGGTCTGGGCAACCTCATGTCCACCAAGACTATGAAATAGGCATCATGATTTCCCCTCTACAGGAACACAGAGGGGTGCTCAGAGACATGTAGCGCCTTGTCCAAGGTCCCAGTTTTTTTTTTTTAACCCAGGGGCACTTAACCACTGAGCCATGATCCCAGCCCTTTTTTGAATTTTATTTAGAGACAGGGTCTCACTGAGTTGCTTAGGGCCTCGCTCACTTGCTGAGGCTGACTTTGAACTTGCAGTCCTCCTGCCTCAGCCTCCCGAGCTGCTGGGATTACAGGCGTGGGCCTCCATACCTGGACCTGTCACAACCAAGATCAGAGCACATATGGCTCTGAAGCACTGGTACTTGATCTTGGCTACACATTTAGAAATATCTAGAAGGCTTTATAAAGTTACATGCTGAGGTCAAACCCCTGCCCAACTAAATCGGAATCTCTCAATGATATTTAAAAAAAAAAAAATTCTCCAGGTAATTCCAATGTACAACCAACTTTAAAAACCACGGATTTAAAATAAAGACTCTTCTTCATTTTCAGCCAGAATTTCTCAGTCAGGATGCTCATTAATAAGAAGGGAGTCCCAAGCCCCCTCCTGCAAATGCTGACCTGCCCCCCCTGGGGTGGGATCTAGCAATTCCTGTTTTCTACAATCACCCCAGATGAAGGTTATAACCAGACAAGGGCTACTAGAAACCCGTCCAGTGCAGCCTGGCTGATGTCCCCTGAGATGCATGACCAAGAGCTGAGAGATGATCTAGAAGCAGATGCCAGGGGTGGACTTGGCCAGGAGCAGCAGAGACAGGGTGTGAGAGCAAGAGGGCAAGAGAGTTGACCACCCAGTCTCTTTGTAGCCACATAACTTGCTCCTTAGAGGCAGCTCCTCCCCAGCCGCTCCCACCCCAGAACAGCCCAACTCAATCAACAGCAGAAAGGCCTTTGGAGACTCTCTGGGGTAGAAGGGATGGCCTGGAGGGCAGGGGGCGGGAGAGAGGCCCAGTTGCTGCAGGACGCCTGAATGATTTATTCTACAGGGACCAACAAAGAGGGAGCCTTGGAAAAAGAATGTGAATCCAATTAAATTCTCCCCTCTGCCACCACATGGAGAAGCACCTGTTCCTGCTAGACAGAGCCTCTGGGCCCAGGCAATTAGGGGCTGCCTCTCTCTCTTTCCTCGAAAGACAATTGTTGGGAGCTGGCCAGCTCCTAGGGGACACAGGAGGCCTCAGAGGAGGAGGAAACTCCAGGAAGACACAAATGGACTCTTGAGCCCAGATCAGGTTTTTAACAGCTTCGGTCTCCTTCTTGGTGCTTCCCAAGGCCCAGCCCTGAGCGAAAACAGAGGCATTGTCTTGTGTCTGGAAGGAGACAGAGGGGACATTTAAAGGCTGGCCCGGTGACAGTGACGGACAGCTCATTCAAGGACTCAGCAGCCCAGGCTCTTTTCTCACCAGCAAGCAGGGCATGGAGATGAATAGCAGGGCCAGCCCGGGGGGGTCTCCGCGGTCCCCCTCCCTTGGGAGACAAGTGCTACAGGGGGCTTCCCCCAAGTAGGGCTGAGCAGGGCTGTCTCCAAGAGGGCCCAGAAGGGGCAGGAGCAGTGTTGCTGCCGCCTGGACGTGGGGGGGAGATTGCCCTCCCCTCCCCTGTGGGAACTAAGAGATGCAGAAGCTTGCGGGACACCACTACAAGGCCACCCAGGCACAGGACGCACAGACCTGGATGCTTGGGTTGGACCAGAAGTGCAAGTCCCCCACGTCCTAGAGGAAGGAGTTGGACTGGCACCTTCACAGACCATGCAAACGGAAACTCCCCTGAGCAGGGAGAATGAGCAAAGCCTTTCCTGAAGAGAACCTGCCTCGCTGAAGAGAAAGCGCTACCCAAGCCGGCCGGGACCAAGAAGTGGGAAGGGGAGGTAGCGGGTGCAATAAGGACATGAAAACATCTTCCTTTTCCTGTTCCCTGAGACTGAGGGTCCCTGCATGGCAGAGGGATGCAGGAAGGGGGTTTCTCATGTCCTTGTGCAACTTCTGTAGTTCTGGGACCTAAGGGTTTTGCTGGAGCTTCTGAAGGGCGGAGCTTGGCCAGGCACGATGGCGCAGGCCTGTAATCCCAGTGGCTCAAAAGGCTGAGGCTGGAGGATTACAAATTCAAAGCCAGCCTCAGCAACTTAGAGAGTCCCTGAGCAACTCAGGGAGACCCTGTCTCTAAATAAGATTAAAAATAAAAAAGGCTGGGAGGGATGAGGGTATAGCTCAGTTGGTGGAGGGCTTGACTCGCATGCACAGGCCCTGGGTTCACTCCCCAGCACCACACAAAAAACAAACAAACAAAACTAAAAATAAAAAAGGCTGGGAATAGTTCAGTGGTTAAGTGCCCCTGGTTCAATCCCAAGTACCCATGCCCCCCCAAAAGGCAGATCTCCCTGGCCATCTCCCTTCATCACCTCTCCCTCCCTCCAGGAAAACACTAAGGTCCCCAGCAGGAGCATGGAGAATGAGAGCAGGGAAGGGTGGGAGGAGGTCCCAGAACTGCGGAGTGACCAGGTCTGAGCATCTGCTCCCCCCACTACAACACTCAGAGAAGACAGTGGATTTCCTGGGCCCAAATAGAGAAGGGCCCAACACCCACTCAGTTACCTGCTGAGTGTGTGGCCGTGACACCAACCCTCCATCAGAGCTCTGCCCCCCATTCCTCCTCTTCTAATCAACTTAGCGAGACCCTGTCTCAAAAAAATAAACAAATAAAAAGGGCTGGGGATGTGGTTCAGTGGTTAAGTGTCCCTGGGTTCAATTCCGAGTACAAAAACTAAATAAATACAAAAGAAACAAAGGATTTGCACTGGGGAAATGCAGGGTCTGAAAGCCAGGAGAAGAGGGGCTTGGGATTAAAGTTCAGTGGCAGGGGGCTTGCCCAGTGTGTATGAGGTCCTAGGTTCCACCCCGGGTGTGCATACAAGAGAACTCGAACTTGTTGCAAAGACAAACTGCCCAGCCTTTGGAAAAAGCAACCAACAGTGTGACACTGATTGTGACACGTAATGGGCATATAACGCCATCTCCCGGGCTGAGGGTCAGATGAAGGGATGCATTTAAAATTCCTGTCACCTTGCTGGGTGCAGTGGCACATGCCTGTAACCCCAGTGGCTCAGGAGGCAGAGGCAGAAAGATTGCAAGTTCAAAGCCAGGCTCAACAATTTAGCGAGACTCTGTCTCAAAACAAAACAAAAAAATTGGGGATGTGGCTCAGTGGCTAAGACCCCCCCACCCCGGGGGGGATCAGTCCCAGCAACAGTAACAACAAAAATCCTGACACCTAGAAGGTGTGCCATATGATTGACTTCCTTTCTCTATTGTTACCAGAAAATACTCCTTTTTTCCTTTTCTTTCCTTTTCTTTCTTTTTTTTTTTTTTTTTATTATACAGGGGATGGAACCCAGGGGCGCTCTACCACTGAGCTACATCCCCAGATCTTTTTATTTATTTTTAAATTTTGAGACAGGGTCTCCCTACGTTGTCCAAGCTGGGCCACTCCAGAGCAGCTGGGATTACAGGCGGCTCCACTGGCCAGGCCAGAAGGGTCCCCTCCTAACGTCCACCCTCCCAGGTTGTCTTTCCCACCGTCACCGTAAACCCTTTAGGAGCCTCCCACCGGCTCCAGGGCAGACTGCCTCCAGGACCGGATGGCGCAGGGGTGCAGGATGCAAGGTGTTCCTAAGTTACAGGATCCTGTGGCCTGGGGGCTACCCCCGGGGGCAGGGCTACTGTGGCGGGGGACACTGGAGCACTGGTCCTGGGTCCGCCTCGGGCAGAGCAGTCCCAGGAGCGCCCGGGAGGAACCCCTCGCACTCTGGGGGTCTTTACCCTCGGGGGCGCTCTCCTCCACCCTCCACGCTCCTCTCCGGCCACAGCCCTTATCCTGGGTGGGCTCCTCCTGCCGCTGGGTTCCGCCAACCGGGAAGCTCCGGGTCCAGCCGCTCAAACGGCTCCGCGGCCGCCGGGTTTACCGGTTGCCAGGCAACCCCGGGGCAGGGACGCGGCGGACTCGGAGCACGTGACTCCCGCCCGCCACGTCGGAAGCACAGCCTGACCCTCCTCTTCTGGAGGCCTGTGGCGGGGGACCCCAGGTGGCCCAGAGAGTGAACTGTCGGTAGGGGCTTCGCGGTGGCGCTTGTCCACGTCCCTCTGCAAGGTCCCGAGAAAACCCAGAAAAGTAGTGCCTGGGAAGCCCTGAGCCCTGTTGGTGATGGTGGCCTCCTGATCCTGGCAGGCCATGGCGCTGCTCCTTCCTGTCATTCCCTCCTCCCGCCGCCACCACCTCCCCTGCACGCTGTGTGCTAAACACGTGGGACCACACTGGCCGAGGCCTTGCACGACTTGGCTGCACGGTGGGAAACGCCTAGTGAGTGCTCACTGGGTGAATGAACGAAGGATGTTTCTCAGAGGATGAAGGCAATAAAAGTGAGATAAGGAACCTAGAAGGGGATTTAGGGATAGAAACCACACCTAGAGCCGAGATAGCTTCCCACAGGAAGCCCCGAGTGCACTTTGGAGCCACCAGTCCCATCCCAGCGTGGCCATCTGCTGCCTGTGTGTCCATCTGCTGCCTGTGTGTCCCTGGGGCAAGTTACTTTCCTTTTCTAAGCCTCGGTTTTCCTCATCTGCAAAGTGGAGGACAGTGGCCCCCCTTAGAGGATAATCAGGAGGATAAAATAAGGAGATGCAGAGGAGTGTCCAGCCCTGTGCTGAGGATAGAGCTCGTGGGGCCTGTTCACCCCCTCTTTATTTACCACGGGCAGGAATGAGGTTAACCTGGGTTCAAGGATGGATGCTGGAGATCTGGACAGACAGGAAATGAGTCATCCAAGAAGTGGGATTTGGGGTTGGAACTGAGCCTTGGAAAACCGTTCAGGGTTGCAGGGGGAGGGCTGGGGAGAGCATTCCAGCCTGGGAGTGGAGGGTGACGTGAGCAGGGGTGGGGGTGGTCTTCTAGGGAGAAAGGCGTTGGAGAGGTGGGGGAGTTGTGGATCGCTCTGGCTGGAGTTGACCGTCCCTGCAGGGGAGAAATAAGAGAGGAACTGGCAAAGGTCACTTGCAGCCAGTTTGTGAGGGGCCCAGAGGCAGGGGATTCCCAGATTTCATGTGGGAAGCCCTGAGTGGGGTTTGGAGCTGTTTAAGTAACAGGAGAAGCGCCCGTTCGCCCCTGCTTCCCGACCTCTCCACAAGTGTGCCTTTGACACCACCCTCCAACCTTGAACCCAGAAGGTCCAAGGAAATCCCCAATCATGGCATTTGCAGGTAAATGGACGGAGTTAGAGAAGATA